GAAAGGAGCTCATCTTTGGCTATTCGGGTGGGTCTTGTTGTTTTTGGAGAGACCTTGGTCGTGACCCGCAGATGTGCTCGAAGAGACAATTCGGAAGATGTTCATCAAAGGTCTGGGGTGGTTCCAAAAGGAGGGGGACATTGGAGTTTGGCTTGCCAACATGTCAGGTAGACAACTAGGATTATAATGAGGTGCTTGAGTCCCGGCTACAACCTTTTTCGAAAAGTCATGTCGCAAATCACTTGTTTTGCAGGAGGGGAGGTCCCTGACACCATTCCATTTGGAAAAATGCTAAACGCAACGGCTTTGATTGGTAGGCTAGCGTATTCCTCAGACTTCATCCTTATTGAAAACGTAGAGGTATCGTGGTTCGCGGTCTCTACGTCATTGAACAAAAGAGTAATATCACAAGTGACCTAACACGTCGGTGAAATTTGCTAGTTGGGAACAGATCTGCAAGACATGTATCCAGACCCGGTTCATAGCATGCCAAACAGAATGGCTCAACTTACTAGAAACTTTGGTAGGCCTACCGATTTCAGATTCTGAAGATATTGCCGTTTTTAACATACTTTTGATACAGGGGTACAGTAATACAAAGCTTATCCCTCAATCAAAACAATTAATGCTGCATGTAAATTGATGAGAAGTGAGAAATTCTCAGGTTTTCGCACGCGAGAAATTGAATGGTGGCGGTCACAATTGAATGGTGGTGCAGAAGTCAGCAGTCCACATACTTTTGGTACGCATTCTATATAGTGGTTCCGTTGGCATAGCACTGTTTTTTTTTGTATTGCGGAGTTAACTATAGCGCGTCTTCGGCTGCGAGTCGCTTTTCCTTTTTTGTTCCAGTTTCCTACTTGTAATTGATAAGGTTGCCTAAGATTACAAGTCAAGTACAACAAATCGATTGAGGTCTCATCCACTAAGGGGGGGGGGGGTGTTGGCAGAGACTGCTCTGATGAATTTGGCTGAAATTTAGCTTAAGGTCTGCTCCCACTCCTAAGGCTCACCGTCATTCCTAAACGCTAATAATAACAGATCCTTTGTTGGTGTTTTCGTGATTTTGAACGAGTTGAGCGCTCTAGACCGCAACCTTCCCCACGCCCCTAATTGGAGCATAATCCTCTACCCTCAGGGGTAGGCGTCTTCGTGCCGTCTGATCTTTATAGTTATGGGCGAGACAGGGCTGCAGCACTGGAAGGACCAGTACATACTCGGCGTCGTAGACTGCGGACACGCCGACCATCTCAGAGAAAAGAGTTGCTTCAACCTGGGATAGCTACAACAATCTCGCATCAAGGGCGGATTATCACCATATGACGCAACCCTGGTCTCCCGACAATGCTTTGAGAACTCGATCGGCGGCGGGGAGTGCGTCCAGCGGCGGAGATGCGTCCCTGGAGGAGAAGATAGGATACGGCCTCTAGGTGAAACCCTAGCACCCTTGCATTATTTACCTTCATGGTCAGCGATTATGAGAAAGTGCTCCCGAAAGACTTGTTCGCAACACCGTAACAGTCACACCTCATAGCACAATTATTACCCCCTGTCACCTATCTCGGGGCCGTATTCATAACTCTTCGAAAGCGGCGATCATGATGAAAAAGGGGTGTGGTCTGCTAGGACAGAAAGCGACTTCTCGCAGCGCGAAACTTCTTCACTGCGAGAACCACAGGTCCACTCTTGGCCTGTACTAGATCTGCGGTTCTCACAGCGAAAGATGTCTGGTGCTGCAAAAAGCGGAAAATTCGTTTTCTTCTACGGCGCCCACACTCATGGAAAGCAACTCATTAGAAATTAAAGTAAAGGTGGACGTTGGCGCAAGGATGAGGAAAACCCGTGGAAATGACCTGGAGCATGAGAAAAAGAACCCTATTTTTGCCTGTTGATTTCCCGATTGATGATTGTGAATTGGAGCCCATTCGCCGTTTGTGCTCCAGCCGCGCGTACTACATTTCGCTGGGATTTGCGTGTCGGCCTGGATCCCTATGGGACACATGTCGTTCCACTAGGTAGGTTTCCCCATCTTCGACCTTCGACATTATCATGGAATCCTCCTCCGAAGGCTATTTCCAAATACGTTTAAGTAGCTATCGGCTCGGTCTACATAATTTGACGAAGCAATTGATGATTGATTCAGTGGAGTTAGTTAAAATCATCAGCACACAAACAATGATCAGCTGTTCTGCGCGGATTCAGGCCTTAGTCATTACCATTGTTGTGCAAATACTTCATGACAGCGTCAGTATTACTTCCAATGAGTGTATTCATTTCAGGCATGGAGAATTGAGCTTGACAATCGCCAGCGTTGGGAAAATCCGCTGATGGGGTGGACCAGCTCGTGAGCATTTTTGCCTTTCATTTCGCTTTCTATTCTTGATTTTGGAAGAAAAGTCTCGGGCTTCTCATCATGCGAAAAGCTAGTGAAAGCTAGAGTTAGAGAAACAACAATTGTATAATTCATCCCTGAGATCGTCATAGTTCTGCTTTTCTGTATCTCCATTTTTGGTTTTTGCTTGCACTCTTTTCAACCCATTTTCACTACCCTATCCTTGCTGAAGGTCACACTCTGTCTCTTCAAACGAGGTTTTTGTCGTAATCATTGCCCAAGTCCGCAAGGACTCAATATGCTTTTTCTGCACAGTTTCCAGTAGCGCACCTTGTGTTTGCTGCGGTTTGCTCTGCTTCAGAGCATTTTATTGTAATGCATATCAGTTGTAATTCAGAGGTGATCCATTGTCAAATATATCCATGAACTTGAAGTTCGCTAGTAAAGAAGATGCTATCGATTTCTGCGTAAAGAATAGATGGACTTATGAAGTAGAGGTAATATGATTCCACGCAGTTTTGGTTTCCATACAACTATTTTCAACTCCCACTTCTTTCTTCCAAGTTTGTTTTTCAGAAAGAGCATGAGCGCAAAATACTGCCCAAAAATTATGCATCGAACTTCGCATGGAACAAGAAGACTCGTGTCAGCACTAAATAGATTGTATAATAAGTGATAAGAAGTGATGTCTGTGGTGAATTTTAGAAGAATAAAGATTAGGGTTCATTGCTGATTTGGATTCGTCTCCAAGACAGGTGAAAGCCTCACAGAATATTCTGATTTGTGGTTTCTTCGTTGTTTTCCTTCTAGACATTTCCTAATCTCTCCATCCAGGTATGTCACTCGCTTTCGCACCTCCTGAAGTACGTCAGGGTGTGCCTGACCATCGCAG